CGAGACTACTACAGAACGCCTGCCAAAGATCCAGGATCTACCCTGAAGCAGTCCGGGCGCGCCCGCTCACTACAGTGCTCTACTCATCGACCTCGCCCGCTGACGTCATGAACCCACCCTCTGATTCAGCGTGGCCTCGTGACAAAGCCACGAGGGTCATCTCCTTTTTTTCTCCGTGGGCGAACTATGCTGCGAGCTCGGGGCGGCCATCCCCAGCTTCTCGTCGTTGTGCTGGGCCGTGGCGCGGTCATAGCCTGTATGGCCGCCCATCATGCTGAGGATCAGCTCTCGGCCCATGCTGCCCTCGTGTCCTCGGTCACGGGGTCGGCGGGAGCGCCCCGAATGTCGCGCCAACGCAAGTAGTCGATCTGCTCGGTGCGCAGCTGGTCGGCTAACCACCGCAGGTGGCCAGCCACGCCGGTGCTAGGGCGGCGCCCAAACTGGGCCTATGAAGAGGGCGCCGAAGACGGACGCGCCGTCCATGACGAGGTCCGCGGGAACCGCGCGCCCTCCTTCCCCCCTCAGCCTCCCGACTTCCTCGGGAGAGGCGGGGCCGTGCACCGTCTCGCGCCGCGCGAGGAGGCTCGCCTGCAGACCGCCTGCTGCGCCGATTGCTACGATCAGTTGAGAGCCGACTGAGGATATGCACGCAAGATTGCTCGATCGGCTCACAGCGCCCGGCAGGTGGCACACCCGTTTGCTGGCGCGGCGGCGCATGCCGAGACGCATGTATACAGATCCTCTCATGCCGTATCCAGACTCCTCCTTCTTGAAGAACCTGTCGCTGCGCGCGCTGAAGCGCCCAGCGCACGCCATTGATGAGCAGGCGACGCGAGCCTTGATTCCTTGATCTCCTGCGTGGCCAGCGCAACGGAATTGAGCTGCATCACGCGTCGGATGAGCAAGTTGTTCCTGGCCCACTGCAGATCGACGATGCACACTGCGACGCGGTGCTGGGCGAGCAAGCATAGACCGCTGCTTCCAGGAGGCAGACAAAGAAGTCGGACAACTACTACTAATACTCCTTCTACTACTACTACTACTACGACGACTACTACTACTGCTACTACGACTACGACTACGACTACGACTACTACTACTACTACTACTACTACTACTACTACTACTACTACTACTACTACTATTACTACTACTACTACTCATCATACTACGGCTACTACTTACGACTACTACTTTCCCACTACTACTACCTACTAAATACGTACTTACTACTATTACTACTTACTACTTACTACTACTACTAATAATTACTCTACGACTACTACTACACATAATAATAATACTACTACGACTACTACTACTACTACTACGACTACTACTACTACTACTACTACGACTACTACTACTACTACGACTACTACTACTACGGATGCGA